CACTAACCCACTAGCCATGGATGGGTTGATTTTTTTCACCTTCCAAAGGCTCCAAGTACCATTATGGGATGAGCATGAGCATCAGGTTTCTAGCATGTGAGCTGTAATGAATGGGAGGACAGAGGCAGGCCGCCCCAGCAGATGCTCATTGTTTTATACCCAGTGCATTAAGCATAGTTTCTATCCAGAGCAGTAGTACACTCCTGTAAACCCCAGGACCCAAGAAGCTGAAGCCAGAGGATTGTGTGTTTGAAGTTAGCCTGGATTACACAATAAAAACTTGTCTCAAAAGCAGAAAAAGGGTGTTGGGGGATTCCCTGACCATATCCCTTCAGTTTCCTGTCTCCTCTCTCCGGGGTATGGGGTCCTCTCTAGAATGTGTAAGTTACCTTGTGAGTAGAGAGCTTGCGGGCTGTAGCTCCTCCCAGTCTCTCACACAGGGAGCTGTGTTGGGGCCAGGAAAGTTGCCAGGCACCAGGAAACCTGAAGCCAAGGAGAGAAGAGAAGAAAGAGCAAGAACCCCCGAGTGCATGAACAGGGACAAGCATTCAGAGGTGCGCTACAGAAGTGGGTCACAGAGGACCTCCAGGCTACAGTAAGATCTGGTCATTTCTCGAAGGCTCGACAGCTGGAAGTTCCATTGAGTCATTCTCATTGCATTCGGAGCCTACGGATGGCATACTGGCCTTGGCAGGGTTTCACTGGCTTTATCGGAGGCAGCAAGGCGTTGAGGGTGCAGACAGCTGGTAAGTGCTGGTCTGGTGTTGCTGTCAATACTGGGCTCTCTTGTAGGCTGCCGGGTGCTGGGTGCATGCTAAGTTTAACAGCACTCACATTCTCTTTGTTGCTAGGGAACAGAGCTCATGGCTCTCCCCATTAACAGGGTCTACAGATGTGGCCACATTGTCCCAATGTTGATGGGGACAAATTTGCCCTAGTTGAGAGGGGCACTGCACTTAGAAATGGTTCCCTAAAGTAGCACCTGCAGTGGGGTCAGGAGACAAACAGCAAATGTCCTGAGGTAGGAGAAAGTTTGCTCAGATGTCAGGAGACATCCTTGCAGTCCTGGCTCCTGAGCTGGGGTGTGGAGACTGGCTCTCCCCAGCTGCTGAAGAAAGTCATTGCAGGGTTGTAATCACAGCAGTGACTGGATTGAGCAGAGGAGTGAAGGCCAGATTTCATTCTGACTTTGGTGGTGACTCTGTGGACCGGTGAGCAAGGCTCTGTCTGAAGCCAGATTCTTAGCTCCGGCAATTTACTGTAGGAAAATTGTTTATGAAAATGCAAGGAGCTGAATGTTATGCAGAAACAGAGAGATGCTGAGGCAGAGAGGATGTTATGGTGTGGATGTGGTGGGATGCTGACCTGGCCCTGTAGAAACTCTTGAGAGGAAAACAGGTGAGCTGCTACACAAGAGCCAGCACTGGGCGGTGCAAGCAGCCTGCTAAGACTTTCACCCTCGGTAGGTCCAATCAAAGCCTCCTTAGCCAGGAAATAGAGGCAGCTTCCGAGGAACTAGGCAGGTGTACGGCTGCCCGGTCGCTCCCTCCCCCTTGGACACTCATGGTTTCACCTAGGAGCTTGTATCTGTTTTTCAAGATTCATGGTTTTTTATGGGTGTGACTGGCTACATGTATATATGAGCACTATGTGCTTGCCTGGTGCCCGTGGAGGCCAGAAGAGGGTGCAGGTTCCCCTGGGACTGTAGTTACAGATAGGAAGAGCTGCCATGTGAGGGCACTGAACTTGAGTCCACTGAAAGAGCAGCCAGTGCTCTTAACTGCTGAGTCATTACTTCAGCCCTACTTAGGAGATTTCTAAAATTTGGTTCACCTCAAAATCAAGACTCAATTTAAGAATATTTATCTGAGGGCTGAAGAGATAGCTCCATGGTTGAGAGCACTGGCTGCTCTTCCAGAGGACCCGGATTCTCAGCATCCACATGGTGGCTCACTACCACCTGTAACTCTAGTCCTATGAGACTTGACTCTCTCTTCCAGCTTCCTTGGGCACTGCTTGCATGTGGAGCACATACATACATTCAGGCAAAACACATACACATACATTTAAAAGGAAAATTTTTTTTCCTAGTGCTTTGAGCGTGCTAGACAAGTGATCCACCTCTCAATTACATCCCTGCTGGGGTGGCATATGAGTGTGTGCATATGAGTGTGTGGTGTATGAGTGTGTGCATGAGTGTGTGCACATGAGTGTATGTATGAGTGTGCATATGAGTAGGGGGGGTGGTCTGTAGAACCGGGGCAATTGTTGGTGTCTCCCTCTTTCACTATCTACCTTACTTCTTTTATATATTACTCTCTGTATGTGTGTGTGTGTGTGTGTGTGTGTGTGTGACCTGAGTGGAGATTAGGGGACTACTTTGTGGCCCTGGTTACCTCCTTCCACCTTTATGTGACCTCCAAAGGCTGAACAACTCAGGCTATCAGTTTTTGAAGCAAGTTTCTCCACCCCCAAGAGCCATTTTGCTAGCCCCTTCACCTTACTTCTTGAGACAGCGACTCTCACTGAGCCCGAGCTCTCTAATTGTGCTAGACTGGCGACTAGACACGTCCCCAGGATCCCATCTGTGACCCTCAGTGCTGGGGTGGCTGGAGCACACCTCCAGACTCACTTCTTAGGTGAGTAATGGGGAAATGAACTCTGGTCTTCGTGCTTAGACAACAAGCAGTTTGGCCCCTAAGCCATCTCCTCATCCCCCAGTTTACATTTTTTACCTGAAACTTTCTTTTTATGTGTAGATCCATACGCATCTGTGAGAAATAAAGAGAAACTCATGGATTTCCAAGTTTTCTTTGCTAGTCACAGCTATCACTGTACAACATTGCAACTAGAAGTTGCATCTAGAGAGTTCACTGCCCGCAGCCAGATGGTCACAGGTGTGAGTGTGTGTGTAGTGTGTGCGAGTGTGTACATGCCAGTTGTTGTGACCAAATCGTTGGTGTACACTGCATTATTGACTAAAGCAGTCAAGACACCAAGCATCCTATTACCAGCAGAATCTGTTATGGAGCCAACAATCTGGCTGCTCATAGCATGCCAGTAATGTGAGAAATAAGGGCTGGGACTGGGGCTGCACCTTGCAGGAAGCGCCAGAAGAAAAGATAGAACCCAGGTGATGGTCCACACTTGCTGTAGAAGTATATTAAGGCCAGGAAACCTTGGACCCTATGAAATGACACGGATCAGGGCACAGGCAATCCTCCTAGGCAGGCAGGACTAAGAGCCCTGGCCTGGCCTGCCCCAGTTGGCTTCCTTGTTCCCTTGTGCCCATCTGATCATTCAGGAGCCCCTCCAAGTCTACCTCACTCTCAGATATCTGTTTTTGCCCATGTGTAACTGCTGCAATGCTATCCGGGTATCTGCTCAAAGGCCAGCCCTTAAAAGGGACCTTTCTCTCTCCAGAATTTTTCTGTATAAAGGAATGATGCCAGCTTTCTTTGCAAAGAAGTTAGGGTTGTTTTTGTTTGTTTGTTTGTTTGTTTTTTTAAACAACCAAACTCTTTAAAACCTAGGTGACTGGGACTTGAGCCATGGCTCAACAGCTAGGAGCATGAACTGTTCTTACAGAGGACCTGGGTTCAATCCCCAATACCCACATGAAGATTCACAATCACATGTAACTCCAGTTCCAGGGGATCCAATACTCTCTCCTAGCTTCCACAGGCACAAGACATGTATGCACATGGTACACAAAATGATACATCTTAACACTCCCTCCCAATAAAAAGATGACATGGGACAACACCCTACGGGTCCACACACTGTATGCACATTGGGCCAGAGGTCATCTTGATAAGGTTCTAAGTAAAGTTCTACTTTACTGACCTAAGTGCCACTTCCCATAGCCTTCCTGTCTGTGGAACAAGATATCCTAGGTTGTCAGCCCTAAACTGTTAGTTACAACTCCCACCCTGCAATCTGGGAAGTGTTTTCTACTACCCCTGGTCCTGTCTTTTTGACAGGGTTTCTCTGTGTAACCCTGGTTGTCCTGGAACTTGTTCTGTAGACCAAAGTGGCCTCAACTCGGAGATCCACCTGCCTCTGCCTCCCGAGCACTGTAAGCTATGGTCAGCTTCTTTAAGTGTGGTCTGTGGGTCCTGGCAGAGAGACTGTCTTGGAGACAGTGTATTGTGAGCATAAGGTGGAGAGCAGTGAGTACATCAACCTCTGACATGGGTGTGCGCACTATGCATAGACATCAAGAAAATAAAAGCTAGGGGCTGGAGAGATGGCTTAGAGGTTAAGAGCACTGAGTGCTCTTCCAGAGGTCCTGAGTTCAATTCCCAGCAACCACATGGTGGCTCACAACCATCTGTAATGGGATCTGATGCCCTATTCTGGTGTGTCTTAAGAAAACAACAGTGTACTCACATAAAATAAATAAATCTTAAAACTAAAATAAAAACAACTGTCTGTGGAGCTAGGTACCTCCAGCACACAGCTGGAGAAGTAGAGCCAGAAAGTGGCTCACACTCTTCTTCCTCTAACTGGGATTATTTTGGGGGTTGGGGGGAGAGTTGGTTGAGGCATGAAGCTCTATAGAGCTGTCTCATGCAAACGCTATCCAGAGCCCACTTTGGCCCAAACTCTAGGTTTGCTGGAGTTCTAACTCTAAGAACCACCCTCTGTAACACCTCAGATCTGGGATCAGCGAACATTGCTGAGCAGCCTTGTCTGGGGACAAGACAGGTTCAGGAAGGTCTGCCATGGAGGGGAGAGAGACTGCAGGGCAGCTCATGGCAGAGGTGAGAACCCGACTGAAGGGGAAGGGGGAGCACACTGCACCAGGCCTGAGCCACTGCCTCAGTTTAGGCTGACTCCCAAAGGCCCTGAGCAGTTGGAGGTGTGTCAGACACAGGCCTGTGGGAAGGGACAGCTAAGAACGAGGTACCGATGATAACTGGGAGGGATATGGAGACTCAGTAGGGATAAGGAAGTAGCAGTTATTAATAAGGCAAATATCAAAGCCACTTAAAATATACTTTTTAAATCAAACACTTTATTTCCACATAACAAGCGCAAAAAACTCCCAAACACTTTTAACAATACAATTAACGAAGTCATGAAGTCAGTTACATACTACTCAAAGCCCCAAACGGTCACTCAGCTTAACGCTCCAAACATCTTCACACATGGTTTTTCAAAGCTACCTTTGGTTTTTGGAAAAACCAGTATGGACATCAACACACACCGAATGCATTAAACATTTGCTTAGGTTACGGTGTCCAACATTAGCTTACACCTGGCAAGTGGAGCGTGGTTTGAAGTCATACAGGTTCTTGGCCCAAAGCTCCTGCAGTGAGGAGGGACGAAGGGCACGGGGAAGAGAGGCCAGTCCAGGTGGTGGCATCCCCACTGTGTGAGGTATGAGAGGTTAACGCTAGGACGCTGTCAAGTCAGTAAGCTTCGTGTCCGAATGGTCCCGATGAGGCTTGAGATGGGCACAGATGGTGGGGAAGGTGAAGCCAGAGAAGAGCTTTGAGCAACAAGCTCCCAGATGCTCAGGGGAGGAGGGAGCAAGCTACAGTTCCCACTGTTCTCACATTATCTCAGGGTGATTGTGGAGAAGTTCAGGTAAAACGTTCAAATATTTGCTTAGATTTTTAATCTGCTGCTCTATGAGAAGAATTCTCACATGCAGCAACTTTGTAACTTTCATTATAAAAGAGCCTACAAATAAATCCACAAAAAAGAGACAATTAATGTTGAGCAGCCAAAAAGTCATGGTTTATTATCTGAAGATTTCATAATTCAAACACAACCAAACTGTACATTTACAATCACATCCTATTTGTAAACAGTTAAAAGCCACTGACCTCTTTTGCATCTTAGGACACAAACAGTTAGAATCAAGGCAATGAAATGATGGCATATTCTTTACTGTTAAGAGTTTACCCTTGTTTAGTCTCTCTTCGACTAAGCAAGCATTATAATACCATTTGTGGGCAAAACAACAGGGGCTAGGGAGGAAAGAAATTTTAAAATGGTGTAACTCGTTAGTTTGCAACAACATTTAAAATTTTTTATACAACAAACAACTCTGTAAGCCCAATGTCTTGGTTACAGTATGCATAGTTACTGATCTCGGCTTTAAGGTACAACAGTTAAACATGAACACAGTCACAAGAGAGCAGAGACATGAGAGCCACTGATGGGGTTACAAAAGTCACCTAGCGATTAGCAAACCATCATCACTCACTACTAAAGGACAGCATCTGAAAGCAGACAGCAACTCCAGCTCGAAGCGCGTTTTTTTCTTTTTTCTTTTCTTTTTTTTTTCTTTTTTTTGGCAGAGAAAATCTTGAACAGAGCAATACGTAGTATCAGTGCTAAAAGTTGGGTTTTCTTCTTTCCTATAAGAAACTACAAGATTTTTTTGACCGGGGAACTGGTTTCCTGAGAACCATGCTCTTTGATTTAGGACAGGAATAGAAAACAGAAGAACATGGCCAAATGCTGCTCTTTTTCCCAGAGATAGAAAGCGTCTTTTAAATCACCCTCCTCTTTTTTTTTTTTTGTCTTTTAATTTTTTTTTAAATGATGGAAGAGTAAACATTTTTTTTTCTCAAAAAACAAACAAAAAATCTGTAAACAAGAAGGTTCACCGTGGGAACCTTCAAAACAACATGGAAAGCCTGTTCAAAGTGCAGGGCCCGTCCTGGGCAGCAGGCGGGCTGCAGGTCACAGCGGTGGCCACAGTTTCTCAAACTGTAGAGCGAAATTCTTTAGTTTTACAACATGAAAAAACTGGTGCAATACTTTCATTAAGAATCCTACGTCAGTATCTTCACTTGATCTTTTAAACTCCACGATACCACACTAAGGTAGGCAACATGAGGCAGAGTAGAGAGCGCACGCCTTGAAGAACATCCTTGAGTAAACATTTACACTGGAACAGCTGCCCCCCCATATTGCCGATTAGACGGAGAGAACATCACTCAGTGCAAAGGTAAAAGCTCATACATCAGCCCAAAAACGGTTTTGCAAAAAAAATACAAAAAAAAAATAAAAGGTGGGGATGGGGGATGGAAATGAAGGAAAGAAGGAATCGGAAGGCTAAACATGATGAATACACAAGTGAGCTCATTCCACACGGTTAGCTGTATGGCGCTATTTGGGAGTGTAAATAGATAGATACCCTTTCACATTATAATATTGGCCTGCATGATTCAAGTATTCAAACTGATATGTTTTGGGGAAAACAAAGTGGAAAATGTGCAGAAAACAGCTGTTCCCACAGGTGGCCCTGGCTGCAGGCGGCGAGCCCAACTTAGTGCTCCTTTCTTTCTCTTCTTGAGGTCACAGTTTACGTCTACACCTATGCAATTACATGGACTCTCCACCCCCACCCAGGTGGTCAACAGAAAGAAAAGCATTAATGGGGGATGGGCTGCTAATTCCCCGGGGGTCGCTGCTGCTTGGGGGACCCCACAGGCTTGTGGAATAGTGTGAGGTCCCCCAGAGGGAAGTGCCGTGAAGGTCTCCACAGTTAGTTCCCGACAGCCCAGCACCATTCCAGTGATTGAGATCAGTCCGGCTGGAGAATGAGTGGGAACAGTCGAGGGAGCCCAGCCGGCTCTGGCTGGACCCGAGAGACTGCCAGCCAGGAGAAGGGGTCAGAGACTGACTTTGTGCAAAGAAGCGACTGATCTCCTCTTCACTGGCAAACTCCGCGAGAATAGTAGTGTTCCCCAGCACACACCTAGAGAAGAGGACACAGCATGAGGGCTTCTAGCCGCATGGCTTCACAAGCTCAACCAGCAGTGGGACCTGCTCTGAGAGAAAATCAAGGAGGTGCAGAAGGAGCCTGGCTGTCCCATGAGTGTCCCAGAAGGGGTCATGGAGTATCTAGACCAGGTCTGCCTCCCACAGGCAATGTAAGGGCTTCTCCAGGATCTAAGGTCTTGTTTATTTCCTGAAGTAGCCTCCAACTCCTAGGCTCAAGTTATCTCTCTGCCTTAGTCTCTCTAGGTCCACACTAACCAGGTCTACACAGGGGTCTTGGGTTGGGCTTTTACTCAACAGCTCCCCCAGACCCTCCCCATCAGGAGTCTTGGGGCAACTTACATGTGCAGAGACTTTTGTGCCTTCACTACCTCTTCTTTTGAACTGTAACGGACCAGAGCATTTCCATGTGGGAGGTTCAGATGGAATGTAATCAGTGGGCCATGCTGCATGCACAGGGTGCGCAGAGTTGAGCCGTCAATCTAGACAGAGCAGGCTGCAGTTAGGGGCTCCATTATAAGAGCCATTGGAAGACACCTCCTTCTCATGCCGGGTTTAGTGACCCTTCCTTACGGGCAGTGGGCCTAGAGCTAGGCATGGCTAGCTCTTCATGTCTTTTCCTCACCCAATCCAGGACAGAACCTCAAGGCACTGCTCCCTAGGAGTGGGAGAGTAGCCCAGAGGCTAAGAAAATGCTCAGATAGGAAAACGTAGGCCAAGGTTTCTGAAGGGCAACATAATCCCACAGAAACACCCCTGCAAAGGCCAGCACCACCAGTACTAGGTGAGACATAGGTTTTGCATTATTGTGTTGTCCTAACAGCATGAGAACCGCTGGATCAGACTAGAGGCAGCTGAGTGTCACCTTCTGCCTAGCCTTGATGATCAATGATGGGCCTATTTGGAACACTAAGCCCTCCCCAGCCCACTGTGTGTACTGAGCAGGCCCCTCCTTACCTGAGGTGTGAGGTTCTTCAGAACAAGCCAATTGGTTATTCTCCCTGAGCTGCTCTCACCCCAGCTGGAGCCTGAACAAAGAACAAGCAGTCAGCATCCCAGAGGTCTGCCTGAATGACTGTTTAAGACAAATCCAGCCAATCAAATGACAGTTAATTTCAGTCATCAGGAATCTGGGCTTCTTTCTATTTTGCCTACTTTCTCCTTGTGTAACCAAAGACCTGTGACATCAGCTTGCTCCAGCTTGACCAGGTGCTGACTCTACCTTCAGGTGCCTCTGTTCCACGTCATCTTTTCATTTAGGGCAAAGTACTTCCAAAAGTTGCCTCAAAAGGCAGGCCTCAGGTATGCCTCTCTGCTTGTGTCCCTGAGATAAGAACCTTTAAGGGCACTGAACTGTTTGGTATCACCCAGACATCTTTTGATTTTGTCTAGGTTACCGAGTGAATTCCCCATTGAGCCTTTCCTGCATGACTTCAAGACAATCCTTTTCCTTCTAGAAAGTAACATTTAAATACAATTAAGAACCACCTGCCCCCCAAGACTCCTTACAGGTATTTCACTGTATGTTACCGTAGGCCTATGTCTGCTTTACCTTAAGGGTCAATAGCACCCACTTCTACTCTCAAATGTCCCCTTAAATAGTAAGCTTCATGGTCATTCTTGGGATAGGCCAAGCTATTACCCAAACAAGCCCAATCTCCATATACTCTCTCCAGCTAAATTTTCTATGTAACAGTCTTGCTCTTCAAGCCAGCCATGAGTTAGGAAACCAACAGACCTTTTAAGATGCATTCCCTTGGGGCTGAGGGGGTGCACACCTTTAATCCCAGCACTTGGGAGGCAGAGGCAGGTGGATCTCAGTGAGTTTCATGCCAGCCTGGTCTACAGTGAGTTCTAGGACCTGCCAGAGCTACACAGAGAAACCCTTTCTCCAAAACCAAAACCAAACCAACCAACCAACCAACCAACCAAAAAAGCAAGCATTCCCAAGGAGCTTTTGAGAAGAGATCACCACCCCACTAGCATTGATTTGGGTAAGCATTCTTACTTAACCAAGGTCTCATGTACAGATGACACCAACGTCCTCATACGACTATTACTGCCCTCACTCCCTCTGTGCTAGGATTTCAGGCATGCACCACCACACAGGTTTGGCTAAATATTCTTAAGGAAATTAGTCAAGACTCCTAAAGATAAGTAAGCCTTTACAGAGTGTGATCCTGTAGCTGACGGTGTTGGTCCATGTTAAATTGGAGAGCTGGTACTAACCAGTAGTCAACAAATAGCCCATAATCAAGCACCATAGCTACTGTGTCCTACCTGGGGTATATCTGGCGTCAGAATTTCCCCATCCTCCACCTACACGAAGGGGAGAATTATCCCACGTAGACAAGGGTGGCTTCTGACCAGTCAGCCCCGGAGGTGGGCGGGACGGAGCAGTGATGTTTTTAGGTGGCAAAGGGACTTTCCACAGCTCATGAGCCAGAGAGGTGTTTGTAACTGAACCAGGAGACCACGTCAATTTGGAATCACTATTTCTGGCTACTCAAAAAAGAAGAGAGAAAAAGAAAATTAAAAAAAAAAAATTGAAGAAGGTAGGATGTTAGAAAGAAAAAATTCACACAATAATATTCACTGTCCCATGAAAAGTGAGTCGAATAAACAAAAACTATGAAAAGTTAAAGGCCTACAGGAGGGAAACAAACAGCCCAAAGCTGGCGATCCTCCCTCGGGCCTGGGCCCTCATCTGTTACTGTCTTGAGACTGTGCAAGCAGAGAATGCTCTCTGAGATTCCAGCACAGACTATAAGATACACACGTGGACTCCTAGCCAATTGGTCCACTCAAGAGAGACACAAGCCACAGATACATTTTAATCTCATCATTTACTCATAAGAGAAAGGCTGTAGCAGTTACTCTAAGTTAGAAAGGTAGCAAATGCTCACTGGGAGAAAGGCAACCATGTCAGACACAGTGCTAAAAGACAGGAGAAGAGAGGAGCGGGAAGCTCCTCAGTAACTCTTAAGCATTCCGACCTGAGTTATTACACAGTACATGGCCATTAGGCCAAGGCTCCTCCCTGTGTGGCTGCAGGCAGCCTGGCCCCAGCAGAGTGTACTGAGCTCAGCAGATGCACACTGAGACCCCGGGCTCTAGCCATCGAGCTCACTGCAGAGGCACACCTCACCTCCACATCTGCACTGCCCACATGTCATACAACTATCAGTCTGTGAAGGACTGAAAATAAAGAATAAACACAAATGGCATTCAGAAGGCTTTGGATTAAATGGTGCTTTATCACAGGGCTGAGGTGGCTTAGATGGCAGAGAGCTGTGTGACTGTTCTTCAAAGGGGAGAGGTGATGTTTGCAACACTTCAATAGGATCACAAACCCTCCCCAGCAACCTGAGAAGCCAGCAGAGGAAAAGCCCCAGGTAGGCAGTTTCTGAGAGGGCCCACCTGAAGTGCTTTGTGCTGTACTGCTGAGGGGAACATTATAGTTGGAGGCACGAATGGATGACCAGGCACTAGTTGAAGGCAGCGTGGTGTTCAAGGATGAGGATGACCCTGCAGAAGAGAGTCAATTAGCAGAGCAGGCATGGTGCCTGGGAAGCTGCAGGCTCACGACAGCAGCTTCCTTCCTGCTGACTGTCTCTGCCTTGGCTCAGAACAGGCACTTCCTCCTTGATCCCCGAGAGTGTGCAGTGGCTAGATGAGCCGGCTCTCCTTCCAGCTTCCACTGGGCACTCAAGAGGCTGTTGTGCTGCTCCTAGCTCGACTCTGAACCACAATGACTATGTACTGGCGGGGCAGGTCATCAAGGCAGCCTGTCACAGGCAGTCCAAGAGCCAGGCCTTCAGCCTTCTCCAAACTTGGGCTCCGTAGTTAACATATTCTCTTCCTTTAGTTTTGGCCTAGACCTGACCATCACCTGGGCACCAGGACAGTCCCTTGTGCACTCCGTTTGGATACACTGACCTTTCCGCTAAAGACTTTTGGTCATAGCTGTCTCTCTCTTTTTTTTTAAACATTAAATCTAATCTTTTGACTTTCAGAACATTCTTTCCACCAAGAAACAGTTTCTACAAACAACTAATTCTTCTATAACTCCCTTTAAGCCTGGCCTTGTGCCTCACTATCTTCTATTGACTTGACTTTCATGATCTCTACATAGCCATTGGGCAGATTCTGCCATTTCAGAAATGACAGGATTCTTCACTTAGCACTGTGATATGACAGACACTTGCTACCTAAATAAACTATATATCAGTAAAGACTGTTAGCTCTTTTACATGCTTTGTAAATTACTAAAGGGGACAGAAGGAGAATATATTTTACACAAAAAATTCAATTATTTTAGTATTTCAGTAACTCTTTTCATTAATCTTTCTTCTAGGACAAAACAATGGACAGAATATTCACATATGCCTATAGTGAAAACAGTCCCATGGTAGTCATAGGGTTATCTCACCTGAAAACCCTTTAGAAAATACCTATGTTTCATAGAACCTTGAAATTCCAGGCAGGCAGACTGTTTATCCTGAGGAAAGTCCGTCACCATTCCAAGTATAAATGAACTATACAACTAGCAGTGGCTGACAGCGCTGTTGGAAATAAATGTTTGCATTTCCTTGGCGTCCACTTACTCAAGTCACAAATCCAAATCATTTTAAAAGTAGACAGTTAATATGTTTTCTTGTCACAACTCCTGTAGGTGTAAGGGGAGGAATCCTGACTGAAGACTCCTGAGTCATCCTGACCTGTTCTCATCCCACGCTGCTGCACAACAATCTGACACCAACTCATGCCCCTACGTACCACTGTTCCTGTCCCTGAGGTGGTCAACTTCCCGCACAGTATTAATTGAAAGACTGTTTATGACACTGCCAGGAGTGACGTAAGGGTCAGTTTCAGGGTCAATGTTTGGATAACCTTTCCATGGTTCACCAGGGCGAAATTCTGCAAATACAAATTCAAAATTAGTGTACAGCTTTAAAATCCAAATTAAATATGCACACATTCATTTCTAAGTTCTGTGTGACAACACCCTAAAAGGCCAGGCTGGTAACACACCTGTAGCCTTAACTTGCTTATTTATACAACTGAAATAATTTCTCTGAGCTTATATCTGCAGCAACTCAAGTAGGCCAGAGATGCACCTCTGGTGATCCTCAGTGTCAAATGAGTCCTTTGACATAGTCAGAGAAGAATCATCGACTAGAGGTTTTCAAGAGACTCCTCATACCAGTTGGTGGATTCATCCACCATCACTGCTTGGAGCAGTAAACTGGTGCATGCAGTCAATGACCCAAGTTCAAGCTCACCTCTCCACTGCATCACATCAGCACTTCTGATCACAGAACCAGGTTAAGCCATGGCTGAGACCAGACACGGAGAGGCTGTAAGCATCTTACCTGGTGGCCAGTTAACACTGCTAGAGCCGTTAGGCGATTTGGCACGTGGCCAGCCATCTCCTATTGAACCTGGAGGACTGGCTGGTGAAGTACTGCTATTCATAAAGTCATAGGGAACAAATGGAGACTCTTCCAGCCTAAAACCACTTGAAATAGCACCTACAAAGAACAACACGGTGGTGAAATATGAGCAAGCTACATCATCACAGTCACTTCTATAGCAAAGCTTCTCATCAGGAAAATGAACGCCCAACTGAACGGTACATGATATGAAGATGCATGAGAAAAGGAGCGCTCTACTCTCTGACAGACAGCAAGCAAGGATTTTGACACATCACATAAAGAGTGGGTGGAAAGAACCAGTGACTCCAGGATTCCTGTTGCTTCTTTTCTCTGTGCCTCTCTGCTTATAACTTCATTCTGACGATGACAGACCCTTTGCCAAAGTGCCAGATCTATCTCTACTAATTGGTGTGTGTGTGTGTTCATTCATGGAAGGCAGAGAGAGTGTCTGATTTCCTGGGGCTGTGAGTTGTCAAACACTGGTGATGGAAGATAAACTGAGGGCCTCTATCAAGTGTAGAGCTGGTATTAACCATGTGCATTGTCTCTCCAGCCCCACCTCATTATGGCCTAAAAGCTTTACTCCACATCTACTACTCTGTCTTCTGCCTCCTTTCTGGCTCAGAAGTAGATGTCATCAAGCTGTTCTCTTTTAGTAGGTCTTCCTACAGCTGAGTAGTTGGTAAGTTTAAGACTTTAGGGTTGAGTATCTTCGTACAGCCTCTTGAGACTCAGCACACCCAGGCATTCCTATGGAACACTGTCTCAGACTTTTAACACAACTCAATGTGCTACATCTTAGGAGTACTTATTATACTGTATCATGAGTGTTCACATTTACCTCTGCTAACAAAAGAGCGTCTAAGGCAAGTGTGTGCAGGAACATCTATAGTTTACAAGTTCAACTATGGGCCCAGAAGTACTTGTTCATCTGTGCATTCTAGGAGTCTAGAATCATCCAATGAAGGCACAGGAAATCCATTAACTTTTGACGACAAATAGGTAATATCCCAGCTAAATATGAGATTTCCAAAAGAAATTAAAGTAGCTGCTAAAAAGATAATTATCAAACCTATGACATGTGTGTGTGGGATGCCAGATATGTTAGTATAGACCTATAATTCCTGTACCAGGGAGGTCAAGGTAGGAAGACTGTGTGTGAGCTCAAAACCATCCTGGACTACATAGTAAAATCAAATAGAAAATTGCTGTATAATTTAATTCCACAATGAGCAAGCTAAATTCAGAGAATATTAAAAAATAGAATATAAGGTCAATAAAATCACTTGGATACCTCCTAAATGACCATAAAGAGGATTAATGCCAGGTGCATACCAGGACAGCAGGTCTAGAAAGCTAGACCCTGTGTGTACTGGGTGGATGGGGACTTGAGACTATCATTCTGGAAATAGATACAGAAATAAATCAACTCCTAGTGATGTATCTCCATGGATCAGTGTATTTCTCAACCTTTCTGCAGTAGTTAGTGATTAACTAACCCATGATTGGTCATTGTTCCAAAAGTAAGATACACCAGAGTGCATAGCCAGCTCTCTAGGATGTCTATATTGCATCCTTCACCTCAAGGCTCAGAATATATGCAGAAGAAGGGATGGAAAGACTTTAAGAGCCAGGAAATGGTATTTTCTAGATACAACAGGGCAGAGGCACATATGAACTTACAGAGATCATGAGAGCATGCACAAGACCTGTGTAAATTCAAGCTAGGCAAAATCCCAGTATCCAGGAAGGGACAGGGACACAAAGTCTCACTCCCAGATGAGGAGCTATTGGCATTGATTGTGGCTGGAAGGGAAAGTTATTTTCTTCAATTGACACTCAAGGACAGGTCACAGGGCCAGGAGACAACACAAACTGGCCTCCATAGTTGTTGCTGGTAGTTTAAAAAAAAAACACCACCCACAAACACACACACGTTATATGACAATATATATTGTCAAAGAATAGATAAATACATTATTTAAAGAGAGAAAATGGGATGTTTAAAAAAAAAACTAATACATCCTCAGATTGCTCCTATGTCTCTGTAACACATCATAATTGAAGTCAATTTGTTTTCTTCTTGGAAGTTTCTGGAAAAGCAGTAAGTGCTCTTAACTCCTGAGCCATCTCTTCAGCTCTTGCTTTGTTTTTGAAATTACAGTGTATGTGGTGTGCATGTGAAGGGCAGAGGACAAGTTGGGGAGATGGCTCTGTCTTCATATCATGTGGGTCTTAAACACTCAACTCTGGTTGTCCAGCTTGGTGGCAGACAACCTGCTAAGCAGTCTTCCTCCACACCCACCCAGCATTTGTTTCCAGACAAGTCTAAGACTATAACTGATACCATGTTTGCTGGAGTTTTGATCCAACGACGTGTTCACAGACATGCTGTCCACTGTTGTCCACTTCCTTAGTCGAGACTGTGGCTCTTTAATACTGTTCATATCCATATTTACATTCAAGTTTGAGTTCAAGCCTTGAAAACACAATTTAAATCTTACAAAACAGTGTATTTTCCTTCCAAACATCTTCTTCCTACTATTCTCAACCCTGCAAATGTGCAGTGAGGTCACAGGTGCCTGAACTGTAGCTACTCTAGTGCTCACAGTACTCTGTTTCCAAGCCACAAGGGCTAATGCTGTCATAGGTGGAAACTACTCCTCCACACAAGCTAGATTGTTTTAAAACTTCCCAAAATAGTAGCAAAAAAGTTTTAAGGAGACCATGTAAAGTTTGTTGCTGCACTGTGAGTTTAGCCATTTTCCCAGAATGCCATGTATAATATATGATCACTCTCAATTGTCAGTCCTTGACTGCAAACTGATGAGATTTCCAGATGGCTCAGTAGCCAAAGGATGCTATTTAAAAGTACAGCTCCTAGCTCCAACAGTAACATCTGAGAAAACGACTCCAGTATCTGAAGGCACATTTTATTAGAAGTTCAGTGGTTTCAAATTCTGATATTACATCTGTAGTATGAATTCTCTAAAGTCATTCCAAGTTCCATTTTTGCAGAAAGCAATCAAATTTGTGCTCTTAAACCTATGAATTTGACCAAGAATTTGCAAATATATTGCATAAAGGTTCAAAAGGTATCCTGGAGAATGTATGGGCTATACAGCCTTCTCTCTATCACTATGCAAAAGTAACCCCAGATAATGTTAAAACAAACATAGCTCTGTCCAAATAAAACTTTCTTTGTGAAATGAAGACGGGGCCAAGTTTTCCTCACAGGCTATGATGTCTGTGTGAATGAAGCAGAAGGGACAGGCCGCCAGGAGCACAGCTCATCAGTGGCTTCTGGACTGTGTAGCAGTTATAGCTGACATGGAAATGCTTCTGCTAACCATTCCAAGGTCTTATGTCCTAGCTGAGAGTCTATTATGTAGTATCAAAAGAATCAAATAAGAAACCTCCCAATCAGAAAATCACCAGCAGAAACGCATACCCCAAGTACTGTTTACAGCCCAAAATATGCTAGGAGAACTAATAGTCTTTAGCAGAACTGGGGTAGTAACCAACTACTCATGAGGAACAACTCATTTATAGGAAACTGTTGTTCAGGTTGGGGAGAGATAAAAGACAAAGGAAGTGTGGCTAACCAAGAATCAAAACATAATCAGGAACCTGGGAAAGAGAAAACACACAAGCCTTAAATTTCCTCAAAGAATAAAAAGCCTGGTTCTACAGTGAAGAAAATGACAATTTCTCTTCACACCTGTTCTCCTGAGACAAGTGACAACATGATGGGACTATCCCCAGAATTTTCTAGAGCAGTGCCTGCACACCACCTCTCTTCCTCACAGCGCTGTCATGAGTCTTCCTGCCCTGGCACACTCTACAGTCCGAGTCTGAAAAATGAGTGTGTCCTTTAGTCTGATCCTTCCAATAGGTAGAACAGTCTGAAATACTGTGATACCACCCCTGAAACATGAAGATGCGCTTAATCTAGAAGAAAGTACATTACTCTCCAATAAGTGGCGTTTAAGCCCCGTGCTGTGTTGAAGGAGAGCTACAAAGGCAGTGGAGGCACATGTGTATAGTGGCCAAGCAGGAACTCACCTATAGGAAAGTTGCTGAAAGCATTTACTGGCGATGGGCCTTTCTGCAGCTCAGGTGTAGTGTGGGGCATGACATTGTCAAGGAAGGACTTCATGGCTGGCTGATGGAGCGGCTGCTGAGAAGGCGGAGTCTGCTGCTTCACCAGCAGGCTTGGATCAAGTTGACGAGACTGTTGCATCATCTGCTGCTGCACACTAAGAGGTCGACCCTTCAAACAACAAAACAATGCAGGAAAATTGTGTGTGTGTGTGGGGGGTGTTTATAGGGACATACTCTTCACTTCTGAACTCACTTCCTTCTCAGGAGGAAGGTCACCAATTAAAGTTCTATAGCTACAATGACTAAAAAGCACACTTGGTTATATTTTAATAAAATTCTTTCATAGACAAGTGGAGAGGACTGATCTACCTGCTGGTCTTGCTGCTGTCGGTTAGCAGAAGGCACGCTTCTCTGACTCTGTGCCCTCTGCTGCTGCGCTAACAATCGCTGAAAGAAGACAGAAAAGGGTTGTCATTGTTCAGCTGTTACTAATTAGAACGTTTAAGGATAACTATGGTCAATGGACCTGGTAGAACTATGCAACATATCCAAGTCCCACCTCACATAGTAACACCTTTCCATGGAATATCTCTACTAGATTCTAGAAATGGGGAAAAATAAAAAAAAAAAAACAAAAACCCCAAAACCACAACAACAACACTAGTACAGTACTGTGACTAGAGCCAAGGGCTTTGCATATGTTAAACTCTATCAATAAAACACCCCTTCATCCAAGCTCACACTTGTAACAGGATTGTTTTTCCTACTCATTCTTTCCTTCCTGTATCTCCCCTGAAAACATCTTGCACTTCATGTAGGTTCATGGTTCATCTTTTCTGACATGCTGTCAGCTCTATGCAGGCTATAACTGTGCTGCCTCTGTACTGCAGTGCCCGATACAGAACTCCCACTGCATACCAAGCAGACAGTAAGTACTTACCTGTAATTGGGAGATCTGAGAAAGCTGGTTTAGTTGGGATAGCTGGTTCAGCATGGCTACCTGTTGAGGGCCAAAGAGCGGATTCAGGCCACCGTTGTTTGGTGCATACTTCAGCAATGAAACTGGAACCTTAGGATCACAATGGTAAGTTAATAATGTTGCTGTAATACCCAGACTAGCTAAATATATATACTGTGCAACTTAATTATCAACAGGGCAGCTAAAGTAGTGGCTGTTTCATGAGGAGTTAGTCATTGAAAGTGTGTTCTCACACATACTCTTTCTCATAGTAACTAAAAATGACAAGGATAACTCCTAACCCATTTGACTTTGCTGTTGCTCTCCTGACAATGTTCTACAATGAAAATGGTACAGTTTAAAATAACCATTAATTTTCTTTATTTTCGCTCACATTCTTGCAACAACAGCTAGTCAGCTCTTTCAGCACCCCAAAGATGTCAAAAATTATTATAATGCCCAGTGGTTATCTCAAACATAAAATTTTAAATTTAACTTATTTTTATGTGAATGGATGTTTTGCTTCCATGTATGTCAGTGACACATGCATTCCTGATGCCCAAAGAGGCCAGGAGAGGGCATCAGATTCCTTAGGAATAGAGTTACAAATAGCTGGGGGCTGCCATGAGGATGAGAATCAAACTGGATCCTCTGGAAGAATAGCCAGGGCTCTAAATGCTGAGCCATTGCTCCAGCCCCCAGACATAAACATATTCAAAGTTCTTCAAGGTTCTTCCCAGGAAAGTGGAGGAGAAGACCAGAAGCTTGTTCACCTGAGGGGAGAGTAATGGAGGAGGCACTTGAGCACGAAGATTAGGCTGAGATGAACTGAGAGGTTGTGCTGGAGGCTGCTGCATGCCCCGGGGTTGTGCTGCTGTGTTTCCAACACCAAACATACTGGGATTGCCATTCTAAAGAACAAACAACAAAATAACAAAGTGATTCTTCAGTGAAAGACACTCATTACCAGATGATACTACTGTTTAAACTACATACAAGAGAGACGTTACTACTAAGACAGATCATTCAAGAGAAAGCCTATAATGCACATCTGAACTTACCTGTCTAACAGAATTCAAGTTTTGCGTACCCAGCCCTGCTATGGAGCCAAGGGCCTGGTTAGGTAGTGCACTATTTGAAGGGGGAAGCTTCATGCTTTGACTGGACATAAACTGCATGTTTTGGGATTCATCTGCTACAATGCCATCCTGATTGGACAGACAGAAAGATGTGTAACACCAGCCAAGCAAACAAGTAGAAGGGAGAAATCATTGCAGGAACAGAGGAGAGGTCACATGACATTCCAGCACCAACAGGAAACAGGTAGAAAACAGAAGAGATCAGATTAGTGTTAATTCTAGAGCACATAAAAAGAGTCAAACACATATTTCACGGGATTAAGAAGGAAATATAAACACAAGGTCTATGCTAAACTGAGATATAATAAAACAATAAACTAAAACTTCATTAATAGGAAAGTCACTTGATCATACTTTTTATATTATATACATTTTCCCTAAATATTATACTATTAAGGGTATGATTGATTATTCTCAGATTAAAAAAGAGAAAGAAAGAGAGAAAGAAAGAAAAAGAAGGAAAGATTGTACCTTATCAAAGTAAGGATTGCGCTCCATGGAAGACTCTTTGGAAATCTGAGGCCGAGACCCAGGGCCTTTCCCGACCGTTCGATTGTAATCACCAATATTCAGGCTATGTTTATCAATCTCCATCCTCTTGTCTTGTAACATTCCTAATAAATGCAAAAGATTATCACCAGTAGGAAGAGAACCAATTTATTTCGTTTAAAAAAAAAATGTTCACTTTCCAAAATGAAACAATTTCTGCTTTAACAAGAATATGTAAAAACTCCATTTCCTTTACATAAGTTCTGCATCTTCTGTGCTGAGTGGCAAACTAAAGCAGGTAATAGATCTACATAGGTCTACATAGAGCAGTCCAAAGAAGTGAATTTAGAATGAAGAGACATGTAAGTAGCTGGTCATCACTAACAGTGCTGTAATCATAGCAAGACAAGGAAAGAGTCCAAGGTGTCTGTCTGCCTTGAATATAAGAGTTTCTGTGTGGATGTTGCTCAAAGTATAGGTTTTTAGATTCTAGATGTTCAACTGGTACTTCGTGTAAATACTATCAAAATCCAAAAATTCAGCATTTGAAATGCTTCTGGTCCTACCTGAAATCACCTGCAGTGTATCTCGTTTCAACTGGATGTTAAATTTGTATTCATTTCTATGGGTCAATCATTTTCTTTCTCTTTCCCACTTTGCTTTATTCAAAAGTTAACTCTCATTTAGTCTTTAGGTAAGAAACTGGCTGCACTGAGGGTCATTTCCTCAGTGACACGATGGGGACTGCATTCTATCTTCCTCATAAAAAAACAATCAGAAGATTGTCCTAGGACAGTGAGGTGAGGAGAGCTGGCTTTTAAAGAGGGCTAAACACTTCCTCATGCCTCACTGATGGACAGAACTCTGGTCAGCTCCTCACGTATCTCTTTGGGAAAGAACTGAAAAAAAAAAAAGGGGTATTGTTTTGAGATTATTGATGATCTGGGGAGGGTTTTTCATCAGCCCCCGCCTGGTTATCTGGCACTGTCACTTTGGCCAGGCTGCACCACCTACTCCAGCCCTGACCTCCTTCATCACTCTCAGACTTCCTGCCCCAGCCAAGAGACTGCCTGGCATTTCTATGGTTTGAGAAGTTTGTCATTTACCAAAGTCTTTATTATGCAGTCCTCTGATCCAGATGACTACATCCTGCACCTCAATAATGCCCTCTTGATAGGGCTTTGAGTCCACAGATGGACACCAGCACCACCTGAGATGTGCAGTGACATGTCCCTGAAAGGGACGTCACAACTCACTTTACTGGGTTGTGCTCACACAGTGCAGCACCAAGGTGTCTGTGTGAGGAGCCGGAGCTGCTCTCTTCCACTGAGTGAGGCTCCTTCAGACAGTGCAGGACACAAGCAGGACTGTTTATCAGTGACATAAATACAGATCAGAATGACTGGCTTTTCTCTCACCTCCAGAAAGATCCATCTTATTGCTCTGTACATTTTCTTCTGGTGAGTCTCTCTGAGGTAGGAAAAAGCAATGTGTTAGCAGACTTTACCAAGCAAAACAAAAAGTGAAGAACTTTCTTTATTTCCTCATCTAAAATGCAAGCAGATCATGAAGTTTCTCCTTTTTAAGTGTGTCTGTATTCCTGTGTGCTTGGCGCAAATGTGCAAGTTCATGAAGAGGCATGCAGGACAGACTTCAAACACCCTGGAGCTAGAGTCACGTAGGTGTGAACACCCACAAGTACAGGGCGGATCCTGCTCCTCTGAAGAGGAGCAAGTCCTTTCAACCCTGGAACTGACTCTCCAGCCCTATTTTTAAAAATATTATTATATTTTAATGTATTTTTAAGATGTGCTCAAAATTTATAAAATTTAAGAATTAAGTCTTGTTGGCTAATTTTACTCTTAATCAACTCATATTTTAAAGATGAGAAATAATTTTTTAAAGACATATTATTTGTTTTATGTAAATACACTGTAGCTGTCGTCAGACACATCAGAAGAGGGAATCAAATCTCATTACAGATGGTTGTGAGGCACCATGTGGTTGCTGGGAATTAAACTCAGGACCTCTGGAAGAGCAGTCAGTGCTCTTAACTGCTCAGCCATCTCTTCAGCCCGAGAAATAATTTTTAATAAAATAAAATAAAACTGGGATATACTATGAACCACTACTAAAAAGGGTATTATTGGCTGCTAAGAATATATACTTACCGAAAAACTGATATTTGAAAACTGTTTAACGAAGGGGTTTATCCATGCGTCCTCTTGTTTGTTTCCGCCTTTCATCATTCCCTTTGTAAATAAAAGAGTAGAGAAGATGCCATGGCCGTCTCTAATTATCTGGACATCGTGATGGACTAGTAAAACTTCAAGACAATTCCCAACTCTCATTTTTAGCCAATATTTTCTCCTTCAATCAACTCTTATTTAGAGGTGTTAACAATTAAATAAGTAAGCTCTCATTTGATTTTCAACTTCCTTTGCTCCAGGCCTCTGGTATAGCTGTAATGTACAGAGATCTCTAAAGGCAGGCAGTCAGAAGGAAAAGACAAAAGCAATGGAGGACCATGGGACATTCCGGCCTCACAGATGGTCTGTGCTCCCTGACATGTATCACCATTTAGGTTTTTGGAATTCTCATACCAAAGTAAAAATTAGTATACAGATTCTCAGCTTTGTCCTAACAAACCAATTTAGTCCATAATTTAATCATGATATGAAGGAACACTTTACTAAAAAACCAATATCTCTCCCATCCACTAAATATTTCCACATGATAATGTCTTTAAAGGTTTCCATTTGTGTTACTAAGAAAACAATATCCTGAGCAGCAGTTGGGCTGCTGTGTTGGGCTGAGCAGTACAGATAGCACATTGAGAACTGGCAGCAGTCACAGAGCGAGGCTGGAAGCCACAGAGACCTAGGCCTCACACTGATGTAATGACCATAGGACCATCTCAGTGTATTAATGTCCTTTCCCAATGCTATTATCTGTTCCTTCTGACTGTGAAACAGCACAGCTTAACTCCCCACAAAGGCAGATCTCTAAAGCAAGCACTTAACCCTCTCCAAAGAATCTGAAGGCGCCTCTGATTCCTGTTTCCCCTTTCCACTTCCTCCCATGGTCTGAACAACTGCCAATCTCTGCCCTTTCTATTCTCAAATGCATTTCTAACTGTTTTTCCTTCCCACCTGGGATGATGTAGCGGCTCCTTGAGATCCCTACCTCTGGTTTTTCTCTACTCCAACTGGTATTTCACACCAGTATTAGATATCTCTTTTTGAGTAAGTTTTCTTTAAGCCATTGAAGTTGCCTTCTTGTAAATTTCACTGGCTCCAGATTTTGTCAACAATAAAGTTCCTATTTATCCTTCCTCTAACTACAGAGCCAGCTTTCTTTGTCATTTTTTAGAAATCTTTCCGTTCTCTCAGCCACCCCAGGTGTCTTCTACATCCCAGCACACGTGTGCTTGCCTGATGCCCCACCAGAGACTAGGAGCCCCTGAAGGGGCTGCTCTTCAGTGTATTCAAACCCCAGCACCAAGCACAGTACCTGGCACACAGCAGAAGCTAAATAAGAGTTTGCAGTTGCTCTCTAAAGATTTTTACTAGTAGAAACAAAGGAGAAAGAGTAAAAAGGCTACACACCCTTTCCCTTCTCCTTTTTTTGCCACTCAGACCCTGTAAGGAAAGACAAAGTCACAAAACAGCATGGTCCAGTGGGAAGAACAAGGTGTTGAATCGCAAGACCTAAGCTGAGTCCTTGCTCTGTCACTTACTATTTATGCAACTTTGGGCCAATCACCACCTTTTCCAGTCTCAAGTTCCTCCTCAGTATCCTATCTCAGAAGTTTATGAGGATCAAATGATTCATGTAAAACATGTACAAGCATGTCATAAGCTACATGGCCAGGCATCAATAGGCAAATCCAGCCAAATGAAAAAATTATAAAATAAAAATGGCAGGTCCTAGACTTTGAATCCCAGGATTAAAACAGACCAACCTTGGCCTTGAGTTAGGCCAGGTACCCACTTTTCAAGGTCTTCAAAAGATAATCACTCTCAAATAGGGTGATGAGGACATTTTAGAGTCACTTGTAAGACTGGGCACCTATTTTGAGAGATGTCCCCAGGAGAATATACCACCAGTCCCCAGTCCCCAATACTACTACTTCCCAGGACCCAGTGGTTCCTAAACCTGGCTCAACATCAGACATATTTGTTGAGCTGGTGCAATTTCCAAAACTTGAGAAGACCTTAGGATTAGCAGACAATGTTTTGAACAAATGCAACCCATTTCTCATGTAAAGCCAGGTATGGAAATTCTTCCTAGGGATTTCATCACAGGACCTTGGGGATGAGAGAGGGACAATGATGGTTAGTGAATAAACAGAATGGTGACTCTGGGTAAGGGGAAGGCTGGGACTCCGGTAAGGAAGTTAATGGAGATGGAGATGAACTGGCAGTGAAATGGAGAGTCAACATGGATTTGCCCTTCTCTTCATCCTCACCACTGCTGGTACCACGTGGGGCTGGCTGCCCCAGGCAGTACTGGTGGAGCTGAGGAGGAGAGAAATCCCGAGCTGTAGCAGTGGGGAGAAAGGAAGTTCCCATGGTCTTATGTTTTTCTAGGTAGCTGCCCATTCAAGAGGCTATACACCTAAGTTGGGGGCTGCCTGGACTGTACTGACTGCCATAAATGGGCAGATAGATTAATTTTCTGTGGGTAAACTACCTTTGAAATTTAAAGTTTCAAGAGCACAGCTCTTGAAATGTTTACCTTTGATGACATTTTCTTGGTATATGGAGGCCAATTTAAAGATGAGTTAAGCTCTTGAGATGAGTTACTGTTCCACATTCCAATCTCTACATCCTCTTCCTCTTCCCAGCCAGTGGGGCGACTTCCAGGCAATGGCATATCATCACCACACCAGCCATCTTGCATAGATTTGGGCCCTGATTTGTAGATTTATAATACAAAGACAAACAGAATTTAAGGAAAGAATTCTCCAAAAGGTCAAGCATGTTTCAAAGTACAGAGACATGCGAGCTAAACCAAGCACACTTTTACTTCTCAAATACATGGAACAGAAAAGGTGTATTTTGATGACATTGAAAGTCACTGGAGGGGCTGGAGAGATGGCTCAGTGGTTAAGAGCACTGACTGCTCTTCCAGAGGTTCTGAGTTCAGTTCCCAGCAACCACATGGTGGCTCATAACCATCTGCAATGGGAGCTGATGCCCTCTTCTGGTGTGTCTGAAAACAACTAGTTACAGTGTACATATAATAAATAAATAAATCTTTTAAAAAAAAAAAAAAGAAAGTCACTGGAAAGAAATTATTTTTATTAAAACATCCAATGAAAGTTTCCATGTCTTCACAGATCTTAGGGTTTCTAATCATGGGCAATAGTGGTTTCTTTTCTTTCTTTTTTTCCTTTAGATTTATTTATTTATTTTATGTATATGAGTACACCATTGTTCTCTTCAGACACACCAGAAGAGGGCATCAGATTCCATTACATTACAGATGGTTGTGAGCCACCATGTAGTTGCTGGGAATTGAACTCAGGACCTGACTCAGGAAGAACAGTCAGTGCTCTTAACTGCTGAGCCATCTCTCCAGCCCTGCAATAGTGGTTTCTTATGCATATCTATTTGGTCTTTAAAATGATACAAAGGACAGAGGGCAAATGAGACAGAAAAGATAATTTTCTATACAATATTCTCTACAAGGCTGTTCAAAGGGTACTGAGGCCACAATAGAACAAACGTCTATCTCTATACACAGTCCTTGGGGCTCCTACAACGCGTCCTGAGCCCAACAGGGTAGAGGAACAATATTCCTGTGCATTCCAGGGTCCTTCCCATGTAAGATTTGATGGACTGGACACGTGTCTCTCATTATACTATCTAATCTCTCAAGCTAAATGACATGAAAGCTGCTAAATTCAGTTTTAAATAATCCAACAAGAGAAAGAATTTAGATTTGGTAGAGGATATGTAAATCATTAGTGGTTACTTTTGAGAAATAATTAGTAGTGACAATTTAGGAGCACTAGCCCATCATTTAAATGTAGCTCATGAGTTTATCAGCAGCACCACTACAAAACGGCTGCTAAAGATCACAGATGACTTACCAGATTTGCTTAATGATTGCGGACCAACAGAGCTGGAGCCCCACGTGGATGCACTGGATGCTGCAGTAATGGGTTCTCCCCAGCTGGGACCACTGTCTATGGGCTTGCCCCAGGCTGAAGTACCATTATCCACAGTCGTGGCTGGAGTAGAAGGCTCTGCCCAAGGTTCACCCCAGCCTTTAGAAAGTATGGGAAAAGAAGTCATCAGCATAGATATTAGGAAGCACCTCAAATAAAGGACAAGGAAGAGGACTTGGAAAACGAGATGAAGAATTTCACATCACACACTGAATGATGCTGTGACAAGCAAGAGACATATTTTGTGAAGAGTACAAATTATTCTGCATTAATATAATTGTATAACATTTTAACCCTTTCTTTCAAAACTGCCTTTTTGGTGTTAGGGCACTCTTTTTAATAATTTAATTATAGCAAATCATCCTCCTAAAAATGTTAGGTTCTTCTGAACCAAAGCTTGAGAACTGAGTGGTGTAAAGTTACACTAATTACACTTTCCTGAAAAGACACTCTTCCCACAGCACTGCAGTGTAGAACAACTGACTATATGACTACCATCAGGTATGCAGCCAGACTACCTTATACACACTGGAAAAAAGGTCTACACTTTCCCTAAGAGTTAAACATAAATCAATAGACTAGGCTTATATTTCAAAACAAAAGCCCCACACAATTACGCACTAAAATAATTCGTGCAAACATTACCGGCTCTCTAACCAATGGAGCATTACTCAATAAAACTCCCATTAACAAATGCAATGTAGGCCTACCACATTTAGGTAATGTTGCCCTATCAATTTACAGAGAAAAGACTTTGAGAACAGGAGAGGAAAAGTCAGAGTATACTAGAAAGCGGTGTGATGCTTCAGATGCACACACTGTATCCAGCTATCTGAGGAGATGCTGACTTCATGCCTCATTTAGAAAATCCCCTAAGGTCAAATATAATACCAAATATCTAGAGTATTGTACTCAGGCACTTGTCTTTATTATATTTCAATAGTGAAACCACATTGTTAAGGCTTGACTAAGAATATCTAAATAAGTATGTAACTTTGCCACTTAACCCCTTCTACTACATTCCTAACAGAATAGAGCAACACTCCTCAAGACAGAGCTGTTGCCATGTGAACATCACCTCTAGGTTACAGCTGAAAGGCCTCGATGTGCACATCCAAGAGCTGCGCTACATAAATCTTATGACAGCGTGTCAACACAAAACTTGCTTCTACAATACCTCTGCACTCCACATAGGAACGCTTACCAGAGCCACTGCTGGTCTCCTTGCTTGAGACTGCACTTGCAGCTGGCAATAGCCGGTGCATCTGTGCTTGCTGGTCTGAGCGGCTGCTGCCTTCCGGGATGTTCTTATTCCACATGTTCACATTTTTGTAGTTGTATTTGCTTGGATCTCCCCAAGCTGAAGTTCCATCATCTATCTCCATTTTTCGTCGTATAGATTCTGGGGATGGCTCCTCCCAGCCTGTGGGTTCCTCCTCCTTTGTTGGAGCAGGAATAGGTCCCCCAAGCCAGCCTGTACCAGGAGGCTTGCTGGTGGCTGGTGGGATTCCCCATGATCCAACAATGTCTTGTTGCTTGTTCCAATCTGGAGAACTAACTGGTTTTGATGAATCTCCCCAACCTAGAGACTGATTACACTTTGGAGGGTCTCCCCATCCCTGGGAAGAACTAGGTTTAGAAGATTCATCCCATCCTGATGAGTTATTTGGATTTATATTATTTCCCCAAGTAAAAGAACTAGTTTTCCCAAGTTCGTTCCAACCAGAAATGGACCTGTCACTGTCACTGCCTCCTGAGCTGGATTTCTTGTTAGCCTCACCCCAATGGTTACTCCTGGAAGATTCTCCCCAGTTATCACTAGCAGAAACAGACCAACCTTGGCTTGACTTTTGTCCATCACCCCAGCCTTGCTTGTTCTTTTGCGAATCATTCCATGCAGACTTGTCTTCTTTGCAATTCCCCCACTGATTGCTCTTGATCATTCCTGTAGCAGCAGAATCATCTTCCCACCCCCCCTGGCAGTTTGAGCCTTTGGAATCTCCCCACCTCAGAGTAGGTTTGGGATCACCCCACCCTGATACAGATGAGGTATCATTACTATTAGGGCTAGTCTTATCTGTACATGCCCCTGAGTTAAAAGTCTGTGTTGCAGAGCTTCCCCAGGCCTCTGTTCCATTGTCAGTCTTTCTTTCCCCTCTTGGTGATGTCTCTGTATCCCAGGCAGTATTCTGCTTAATAGGAGTCTGTCCCCACCCAGAGTTGGATAGGACACGTGGATCTAAGTCAGTTCTGTTTACAATGCTTTGGAGTAATGTGTGCTGATCAATTTTTCTTCTATCTCTACTCTGACTTTCCCCGGTTACTTTCTCTTCAAGGCGCCCAGTGCTCTCTGCACTACCATCACTCTCCACTGTGCCTCCTGCTTTGGCCCACACACTGTTTTGTTCATTCGTCTGAGATGTGGCACAACCCTGATCATCTTCCTCAGTAGATTTCCATCCATTTGTAAGCTTCTTACCATTGCCATTTGCACTGTCATTGGAATGCTGGTTGCTAGGCAGTTTGTTCCACTCTACACTGGATAGACTAGTGCCAGTGTTCTGTGCAGGACTTCCCCATCCTCTCCGACTTCCTCCAGAATTTGCACCATTTCCACTTCCCCATGGTGAACTCTGGGAATTCACTGTCCCAGGCTCCCATACACCGCCCCCTTTATTTGTATTAACTTGAAAGTTAGTGCCCATAGGCCCATTTATGCCAGGCTGCATTAGAGTTGCATTCACAGTGTCACCATTGGCTTGGCCATTAGGGCCTGCACATTTGTCGCCAGAGTAATTAGAACCATAGGCACCCCATGTAGTACCGTAGGAGCCTCCAGTTTTTGACTCTCCATTACTAAGGTGAGAAAGGGAAGTGCCATTCATAACTGACGGAGCCTGTATCTGAGGATGATTCATTGTGCTCACACGCCAGGCCCCTGGATTACTAGTAGGCAGTTCATTATTTTGTACTGAACCGGAGTTTGGTAAACTAGAGGTCATAAAGTTAGTAGTGTTATTTGGTCCAGTCGTTTCAGTGGTGATATTCTGAGGTTGACCACTGAATGAAACCTTCTGTGTACCACTTACTTCAGGCTCACAAGTTTCCTGAAGGCTACCCCAGGTACCATGGGTAGAAGAGCCACTGACTTTAGAGTTGATACTCTGATTGTTAGGCATTTGGCCTATGGTACTACACTGAATATTGATGCCAGAACTCCCACTCCCTACAGGCCCTTTTAGGGCAAGTCCATTGTTTTCTAATACTGGCCAGGCACCATGGTTGCTAGCTGAATTCAAAGTGCTTGGATTTAACCCTCCATTTGATGAAGAACTTACAGTGCCCCAAGCATTCATTCTATTGTTACTACTTTCTGGTTTGCTTTCAGGAGCATCCACAGAGACCTGACATGTGCTTATTATGGCTCCATGAGGAAAGCCCCATGGGCCAGTACTACTTCCATGGCCCACATTATTGCTGCTGCTACCGACCACAAATTTGCTTTGAGAACTGAGTCCAGTGCTGTTCCGAAGGCCATCTTTCTCACCACCTGTGTTCCCTGAAGCCATGACAGTGATGTTTCTCTCTGACTCAGAATTGGAGGCAGAATCAGCATCTATACATTCTGAAGCCAACTCAGGATCACTGCCAGGGGCTGAGGGCCATGCTTCTTTTTCCAACAAGTCGTTTACAGCATTCTTACAGCTTGTGCTACAGTCACTTGTAGAAGACACAGGTCCCCGCTGGCAATTTTCATAATGGGATCCTGAAGTATTATGATTTATATCTAGAATAAAGGAGAAGTATATCTATTTATAAGTGTTAACAATTTCCAAAATGATTTTATGTAGGCTGAGAAAAATGATGATCCGTTACAAATACACGTAGCTCCTCAACATTAGCAAGATGTTCCGCAGAATGACTTTGAGGCTCTGATTATCTTTCAGCCACCAATCTCCACGTTCAGTAATTTCACAGGCAGAATTCTGCTGCTTTGTTCAATACCCTACAGTACAGCATGGAACAGAAAGTCCCATAGGGAGACCTGCTAAATATATGAACGGACAACATCCAACAAATACAAGAATTCTGGAGTGAGGAAGACTGGGTGGTAATGATGAATTATGACAATCCAGGCTTAGGACTCGACGTGGGAGAAAACAGACTGGGATGCAGAAAGGTAAGTAAGTGTAAGCAGCCCAAAGTGATTCAGACTCCTGAAACAGCTTTCCACACAACTCCTTTTGGTTAGAACAATTCTGTAAGGATCCCAAAGCCTTGTACTGTATTTCTGTTTTATTAGTGTATAAATACCATACTACACACAAGGAAGAACATTATTAATTTTAAACAATTTTCTAATTTACTTTCATGGCCATGCTTAGTAAGAGACAACAGAGAAAATTTGGTGTTGAAAATCACCAAATTATGATCAGTAATTCATCAGCTGATACTGAAGTCCATAAGGGACCAATCATATGACCAAGCCTTAGACCGCCATCCAACTACCATCTGTGTTTATTTATTTCTATTCTTTCCCACAGACAGCATCACTAAGTGTTGTTTCTCAGTCTATCTCATTTAAGGATCTAGTGGGTAGGAATACATCTGTGACATTAGCTACATTTGCATTTAGGCTGTATTGAAGGGTGGCTTACACTATAGTTCCCAGGATGAAAGTCTAGAAATAAATCAAAGTCCCACTATTAGTGTGATTTGCTAGTATGGAAAAATGTTACTGCTTGTACCACTTTCTCTCAAAGTACAAATGCTAAGAAGTAAATGATGAAGAGCTGTAAGAATGGCAAGAAAAGCAACTAGAGACCGATCCGAAACATATTCAGTTGATAATTTAAGTAAGTGCTGCAAAATGCACCAACTACTGCTCCCTTTGCAATTAATTACTTCATCACAATGTGAGTAGCTGGTTCTGGTCACACTGTTAATACAAGCTCTCAGGAGGCAGATTTCTGATTCAGAGGCAAGCATGGATTAGTAGAACCCTGTTCGTCCAACCATCCATCCTCCCAAAAAGTAGTCAATGATATTTGTCTTCTCCATTGCTCACGTAAAATCCATATGATAAAAGGAACCAAAAAGTCAGTCTTCCTAGAGGAAATAATTCTATACTGCAACCCACAGGGGCAAAATATCAACCCATGACCAGCACTCACTGCTACACAGCAGCAGGTCTGCAAACCCCTGCACCAAGTGCCTGGGACAATTGCAGAGTACAAGTATTGCCCTCCCCTTGTGTAGGAGGAGCTAAGGTGGGAGGAGTAAGGAGAGGAAGAGGAGTTGGGAGAGGAAGAGAAAAAAGGAAGAGGGGGAGCTAGAGAGGGCAGAGATGTAGGAGGATGGAGAACCACACAGGTATGGAGAGCACTCATGGGGAATAACTTATAAACTTATAATTAGGTTAGCTAATTGGGATACAACTCTCTTTATATGAGCATCTTGTTATTAATCACTATCAAACATATAAAGCCTTTGATTAATCTATGAGAATTAGAGTCTCATTCTCTTACTGGGCCCACATGGATGGTGGAATGGTCTGGGCACTGCCCTGTCTTGCAGAGACAGCGTGGAAGATTGGCAGAGCCATCTCTCACACTGGCATCTAGTAGGTGGCAGGGCTAGTGTTTCTGGCGGGCCGGTTCTAGCTGCAGCGCGCAAGAGGCCTCAGGCTGAGAAACAAGTGGCCGATTTAAATAATTACCACAACACCTTTGTATGTGAGAAACCAAGGGGCAGAAGTTAACTTGTAGAAACTGAGTGTGAGAAGCAAGATGTGTTGGACAGTTTTAAGTTAACTTCAAACAAACTAAAGTCATGAGAGGAGGGAACCTCAATTAAGAAATTGTCTCCAAGCTACACATGGTAGTGGATGGGGAAGTAGAAACAGACAGATCTGAGTTTGAGGCCGATCTGGTCTATAGAACAAGTTCCAGGATAGTCAGGACTACACAGAGAGACCCCGTCTCAAAAAAAAGCAAAACTAAAACCAAACCAAAGCCAAAACAAAAACCAATAAAACAAACAAACAAACAAAAAACCCAACAACAACAACAAAAACCCAAAAAAACAAAACCAATCAGGCTGTTGGCAAGTCTATAGGGTATTTTCTTGATTAATGATTGATGGGGGAGTCCCAGCCCACTGTGGGTGGTGTCATCCCTGGGCAAATGGTCCTGGGTTCTGTGGTTAAGCAGCACTCCTCCATGGACTCTGCATAAGCTCCCGCTTCTAGGTTCCTGCCCTATTTGAGTTCCTACACTAACTTCCTTTGATGATAAACAGTGATGTAGAACTGTAAGCCTTTCCTGCCAAAGCTGCATTTTGGTCACAGTGTTTCATCACAGCAACAGAACATACAAGATACACAAAATAATTACAGTCCTCTATACACCAAAGTAGCTAAAAAAAGAAAAAGAAAAAAGGACTGACACATCAGCAATAACAGGCCTCAAGCTTGAATCCTTTATAGATGCTAGAGGACAAGAACCTGGGAAATGAGGTCACGTTATTTTCATCTGGGGGGGTGGGAGTGCTAGGGATTTACATGCTTGGCAACTATTTTAACACTGCACTGTATCCCTGGTCCTCTGATTTTTGAGATAGCGTCTCTCTGTGTAGCTCAGGCTGGTTTTGAATTTGTGAACAATCTTTAAGCACTAGCCACAGGAATATTGAGATTATAATTACAACCACGTGCTACCATATCCAACAAAAGAAGGGTGAGAGTAAGCTTTTACTAAACTTGGTTGTTCAATTAACCATTAACTACCTAAGAAAAGCATTTAGTAACTGCTGTCAGCAGGTGAAAATTACATGAAAGGTCAGGCATGATGGTGCACGCCTTTAATCCCAGCACTTGGGAGGCAGAGGCAGGTGCATTTCTGTGGGTTTTAGACCAACCTGGTCTACACACTGAGTTCCAGAACAGCGAAGGCTATGTGAAGAGACCCTGTCTGTCTCAAAACAAAATAAACAACAAACCAAGAGACATTTTATACCACCTAGTCTCTGAGACCAAAGGCAAGACCTTGTCTCTTTGTCTGCCTTAGTTTCCTTATCTAGATAGCAGGGACTACCCTCATATGACTGCTACAAGAATTAGACGGTTAACTAAAGGAGCTATATGTAGTCCATGTGAGGCACTACCATCATTAATGAATGCACACCCATGATTGTCATGATACTCATCTCCCCAACACATTTTCACTTATCTCATCACCCACATGAAGAACAAGATCACAGCTAGTGTAATGTGTCTGTTTTACTATTGTAAATAGTGTCAACTACTCATACCCCTAGGATGCTTCCTTCCAGAAAATGTGAGGTAAAGCATAAAGCTCTTTAATAATTTTCCTTAACTTGGTATTTTTCCTATTTTTTTAAAAAATTACTTTTATTTATACATATATCTATATATTTGTGTGACTGTCCCATGACATGTATGTCTGTGTGTGGTGTGTGTTCCTGAAGGCCAGAAAAGGACACTGGATTCTCTGTAGTTGGAGTCACAGGCAGTTTCGAGCCATATGATGTGAATGTTGGGAAAATACTTGATCTTTTCAAAAAGTGCAAGGCATCTAGCCATGTTGTTTTCTAAGACCTAAGCCTTCGCCTTTATTCTTCCCTGTGTACAATAAAGCAAAAGCACCATCCTTCCCCCATATCTAGGGCAGCCAGTTTGCATCACTATCTTGGATTACTGCATGTGTCTCTGCATGCATGTGTTGACAATTCCATAAGGCAGGGATAAGAAAAAAAAAAAACCACTGGGCATCTACATCTACAACAAAACTACTCACAATGAAAATAACAGAGTTTAACTATGAATAACACCAAGTACTCCCACTGCAACAAGAAAAAGACAGAATACACATCAATAAACCTACTCAATCCTGTGCTGAAAGGACTGCTGGATAAACTGTAATTCACAAATGTGGGTGTGGTAATAAGAGTCTGTAATCCTAGTAGTTGAGGAAGGAGGTGAAGAGAAGAGGATCAAGGTCATACTCAGCTACAAATGAGCTAGAGGGCCAGACTGAGCTCTACAACATGCAGGCAGAACACTGTGTATGTAATAAATACACAAATCTTAAAAAAACAAAAAAGCTGGAGAAAAGACTACCCTTAGTCTCAGGGCATTGAACATGAAATGCCATGAGGTTCACCACCTCACTTTCAAATGGCTTAGCCATAATGAACGTGTGCATGCATGTGTGATCGGAATAAAAACAAACAATAGTGAGTCAACTAAGAATGCTTCAGCCCTTGGGTTGGAAAGGAAGGACAGTCACCGTTCTAGTCTTTTAACTGCACTGCATGGCTTGTGTCATGTGGATAAAGAGATCAGAGCATTTGGCCATAACAGTATTCTGTCAGGGCTAAGTATTATCTCCCCTAGAGTCTCCAAATTCAATCTATTTGAGCAAGAGCAGGATCTGTCCTGGCTTTAGAGTCAAGTGCAAAGAAGCAGTCTAAAACTCTGTGTCTTTATTGTGTGCACTGTGTGCACTGTGTGCACTGTGTGCACTGTGTGTGTGTGTGTGTGTGTGTGTGTGTGTGTACACCTAAGTGCCAGAGATCAGACAACTCTGTGGTCTCAGTTCTTGAGACTGAACTTAGGCCATTAGGCTTGCACACATGGTACACATATATACTTATGCAAGATCGCAAGTACACATATTTTTAAAAGGTTTAAAAAATAAACCTATAAAGACTAAAGTACCAATCTTGTTCCTCAGAGTGTTTCCGTTTCATAATGGCAGCTTTAGGATTCAATATCTCCAAATACATGTGACATCCTGCTTGCTAAGCTCGTCTAGACACAGGCAGAAGATCTTTACTTTCTTTGAGGCTTTTACCTATGTTCACACCTGAGAACTTTTCATCGGAATGCACATATATAAAACTTGATTCCTCTGACTCACACTCATTTTGTGTATATGTGCATGACTGTACATGTGTGAGGAGGACAGATGCTGATGCTGGGTGTCTTTGTTCTAGGTGTGTTTTTTGTTTTGCCTAGACTGGCTACCAACAAGTCCCAAGGACCCTCCCTTACCTTATCTTCCCAGTGCTAAGATGACAAGTATGCATCACTCTCTTTGGCTTTTTTTTTTTAAAACAGGGGTGGCTAAACAACTGAACTCAGCCCTCATACCTGCACAGTAGGCACTTTACTGAGTGAGCCATCTCTCCAGTCCCATACTTATTTTTGAGATACATGACTCTTATTGCACTACTGTTGTTTCCATTTTAAAAATAGCTTTGTTTTTTTCCCAAATGGAAGAGACATACATAAAATTTCATACTACATCACGTCACTGTCTGTTTATCATATACTACTGGACCTGGCTCAATATAAGTATTCATTCAGGTATTTGATAGATAACTAATAGTTTACTAACAGATTGCTTATGCTGCTAAGCAATACACTGTTTTCCAACCTGGCTTCCCAAATGAAATTCAACTTCTGAATTACCTATAACCTGGCCTATGTACAATGTTAAACTCACTTTAAATAGTGTAGGTCTTTGAGTAAATGTTAGTGTGAGCTGGCTAGTCTTGTGTCAACTTGACACAAGCTAATTTATCTGAAAGGAGGGAACCTCAATTGAGAAAATGCCTCCATAAGATCCAGTTAAAGGGCATTTTTTAAATTAGTGATTGATGGCAGAGAGCACAGTCTACTGTGAGTGGGGCCATCCCTGGGCAAGTGGTCCTGGGTTCTATAAGGAAGAAAGCTGAGCAAGCCATAAGGAGCAAGCAAGTAAGCAGCATTCCTCTATGGCCTTAGCATCAGCTGCCGCCTCCAGGTTCCTTCCCTGACTTCCTTCGATGATGAACTGTTTTAATATCTCATACAATTTAGACTTCAAAGCATCCTTTTAAGGTAGGATCCTGCCAGGCAGTGGTAGTGGTGCACACCTTTAATCTCAGCACTTGGGAGGCAGAGGCAGGCGAATTTCTGAGTTCAAAGCCAGCCTGGTCTACAGAGTGAGTTCCAGGACAGCCAGGACTACACAGAGAACCCTGTCTCGGGAAGGAAAAAAAAAAAGGTAGGATCCTGGTGTCTTCTATATTATAAATTAAGAAAGAAGGTCCCTTATGGGTATGGGGGCATAAACCTTTTAATCCCAGCACTTGAGAGGCTGAGGCAGGTGAATTCCTCAGAATTCAAGGCCAGCTAGAGTTCCAAGGTGAGACTCTTAAAACAAAACAATTAAAAACAAAAAGGAAGGTCTCATGAATTAGTTTCTTGATCAGTCTCACACAGGTAGTAAGTGATTTAGGAGCAGAGGAAGTACATCTATGTCCTTCTAAAAATGTGCTGCTCTAGAAACCTAGCTTAGAAATGTCTTCCTGCCCCTTTCCTATCACATCCAATACACTGCTAGAGAGCACCATGGTGTATGAGCATGGCTCTGGAGTCAGATTCATGGACTTGAATCCAAAATGTGCTATTTACTAGCTGTGAAATATCATACTATATCTTAAGACAAAGAGTAGTGCTTGGTATACGTATAAGAGCATTCAGGCAGCAAGTGACTAGTTACCAGGGATGGTCAGGGATAATGATAGTTACCCTTGTGTAGGGTGGCTGAGGAGTAAATGTAACTGAACAACACGAGGAGTGGGGAGGGCTCAATTTTAACTACACACTTCTTAAAGTATGGGACCCGAAAGAAGACCAAAGCGATCACCACATTGGCTTTCTAAGTAAGACAGGTATCTACCTGATAGTAAAGGATTCTCCACTCAAGCTCCCTACTCAGGATTCTAAAATCAAAGCCCAGCTGTTGCTACATGAAACGCATCACCAAAAACTATAGATTATAACATTCCTTCACTGCCAGTGAGCTCTGTAAGAACTGTCTTTACTCACCTGACTGGCTCTTGCTGTTTTGCACCTCTCCGTTATTTTGTGGCTGTTGATTTGTTACAGCACTGCTTTCTGACTGGCTGTTTAACACCTTAACAGTAGATCCCAAGTTTGCTGCTATGACAGGAAAATGCTGACCCCTCTTTAGAAGCTGTTTGTGTTCCTGGTGGCGAAATCTTGGAGGTACTTCACGCGGATACCGAGGCAAGGCTTGTGGCTGCTGCTGCTGCTCTTGCTGCTGCTGCTGCTGCTGCTGTTGCTGCGGCGGCGGCTGCTGATTGCTGGCTGTAGCTCGCTTGGCATTATTATTAGTGCTGGTTGCTGTGGAAGTGCCGTTATCAGAGTTGGCAGGCTGAGGCTGGCTTACACTGGGCTTTATCTGTTCTGGCACTAATTTAAAAAAAAAATTTTAAAAAAAGATTCACCAGTGAAGTATACTTTACCTTCAAACTCAAAGGCACTAAGAAAACAACCTGAACAGAAGCTTTAGGCTTCAGAACACCCTCATTCAGAGATGCAAGTTTCTGAAGAGATACCACTATATGGAGTCAAACTTCCCATACAAGCTACTCAAGTGTCCACAATGGTGGTCATTCTTGACCAGGATGATGGTCATGGCCATTTTTTTTTTCCATACTACACTTGGCCAGAGAGCAAATATTTGTTACTTAAAACATACAACAAAAGAACAAATGGGGCAACTGACTGATGGCCTAAAGCAGGGATTCTCAACTGTGGGCTACCTATCAGACATTACAATTCATAACAGTAGCAAAATTAAAGTTATGAATTAGCAACAAAATAATTTTACAGTTGAGAATCACAACATGAAGAACTGTAATAAAGAAAGTTATTTATTGGTTGAGAACCACTATCCTAAAGGAACCTTCAATTCTCTACTAACTGTTCTTGTTTTTATATTCTTGATTTATATTTATTTAATATTCTTGATTTTATTTTTATATTCTTGATTTTTAAAAAATCAAGCATTTGCATAGATGTTCTGCCTCCAAGGGTATCCTCTGTATACTACATGTACATAGTGCCAGTGGAATCCAGAGGCATTGGATCCCTTGGGGCTAGAGTTACAGAGGGCTGTGAGCCACCACCAGGGTGCTAGGAATCTAACCCAGGTCTCCAGATGAGTCAGTGCTTTGTTTTCTATTTTATCATCTGAGGCATGATTTCCCTGTGTAACCTGGGTTGCTCTAATAATCCATTGTATAACTCAGGTTGCCTCAAACATACAATCCTCCTGCCTCATCATCCTAAACTGCAGGGCCAATTAATGGATGCAACCAAGTTGTGCTTAATCCCTATTTTAAGTTTTTAGAAGATACAGGAGGAAAACCCTTCATTTTCATATAAAAGGACAGTGATAACAGTTTCCCATTGGTAAATACAATGTCTGAGCAAAGGACTAGCTTAGAATAAGAAACAAATGCAGGTGACAGGATAGAACCTGCGCACCTGCCAAGAAAGAAGAATTTCCTGGACAGCACCTTAGACAAACCTAAGAAACTACTTGTCTGGTGTATTTGTAACTGGAAAGTGACAGGTGACTATGACTGTTCAGAGTGAATATCTGTAAATAACCTGATGAAAGTACCAAGAATAGACCTCATCTCTGAAACAACAACTGGCATGGTGTCTGAGAATTGGCTTCAATTCAAGCCCAATCCTGCTGTCTCCTCCATTAAGACTTCCTAGTGTCAAAGGCAATAGTTATTACAAAGCACAGAATATAAGCCTGTTTAAGTACTGGCTGCTCTGTAATGACTGGTGTACTATTGTACCTGCAACAGTCAGTCCAATAGTCCAATACAGAACAAAATAGAACTCTGGTACTGGAGAGAATACCTGAGAAAATTCTGGTTAAAGTCTTTTTTTTCCCCTGGTAAAGTCTTCTTTTTGGGGTTTTCGAGATAGGGTTTCTCTGTGTAGCCCTGGCTGTCCTGGAATTCACTCTGTAGACCAGGCTGGCCTCGAACTCAGAAATCCGCCTGCCTCTGCCTCCCAAGCGCTGGGATTAAAGGTGTGCGCCACCACCGCCTGGCCCCTGGTAAAGTCTTAAGCGCTCTAGTCCAGTAGTGAAAGACCCTGAGCCGGACTGAGAAAGCGCTCGTTTATCTCTCTTCTGTAAAGCATCACCCAACACACGGTAACCACAGTAAATAAATGCTACTGCTGTAACAAGAGAGCTATTTATCAGGTGCTTCTACTGTAAGATGCTTTGACTGCAGTTTTGGTCACTGTGTTTTAGAGTACTCAACCCACCTTCCTCCTACATGGTCAGCTTCAGGCTGCCTGTCACTCAACAATCAAAACTATTTTTTTTTAACAGTACTGAAATAAACTATAGTCAAGAGAACTTACAGTGAAAACTAACATTCTCTCTTGTTTGGAACTCTTTCATTCTTTATTATTACTGTATTTATTTACTGTATATGTTGACTAATTTCATGTCAACTTGACACAAGCTAGAGTCAAAGCAGAGAGAGCCTTGAGAAAATACATCCACAAAACTGGGCTGTAGGCTGATGGGAGAGAGGCCAGCCCACTGAGGGTGGGGCCATTCCTGACTTGGCTATCTTGGGTTTTGTGAAAAATTAAGCTGGGTAAGGAAGGCATGGGGATCAAACCAGGAAGCAGCCTTCCTTCATGACACCTCTGCATCAGCCCCTACCTCCAGGTTCCTGGCCTGATTAAGTTCCTACCCTTACTGCTTTTGATGATATTAAACTGTGAGTCAAATAAACCCTTTCCTTCTCAAGGTGCCTTTGGTCACAGTGTTTCATTACAACAATAGCAATTCTGACTAAGACAGTGTGTGTGTATGTGGGAGCACCACTGGGCCAGAGGACAACGTTCAGAGTCAGATCCAGGTGACTATGTGGACTGTAAGGACAAACCAACCTTAACTTGTCAGGATTGCCTCAAGCCATCTCACTGGCCCATCATCTTCATCCTTTAATTTTTTTTTTGTTTTATATGTATACGTGTTTGCCAGCATGTATGTATGTATGAGTGCATGAGTTAAATTCCCTGGAACTAGAGTTACAGATGGTTGTGAGCTGCTTTGTGGGTGCTGCAAACCAAACCAGGTTCAGATTCTTCTGTAAAAGTGCTCTCAACCATGGAGCCATCTCTCCGAGCCCATTCTTTTCTTTTAGTAATAATTTGGGCTAAGCATTTTTTCTCTTAACATAATGCTCCCAATAAGTAACAACGATGTATATTCCTTTGTGCATCTCACACAATAATAAGAAAAAGCTGTGAATACATTTTATGGATGTCTAGGATGAAAGGCATTTCATATTAATAAAAGAAAATTTATGCAAAGCTAAAATTTTTCATAAGCTGAACATCACAGGATCAAAACATATACAAATTGAAGAAAAAAAACATTAAAAAAAAGTTGACAGTGGTAATAACTTTATGATGGGGAGGTGTTGTGTAATCCTGTCCTCTGGATATGGCATGGCTAGCACAACCATGAACTCACAGCAACTGTCACTACTGCACAAGACCAAGACATTCCATCAAATATGAACTAGATGATGGAGCTTCAGGCCCCAGCCCTGAGGAGCTATTGGCACTGGACAGTTGCTGGGGAAAGAACTGGACTTAGTTATCAAAAAAAGGAGACATGATATTCAGATGTATGTTGGGGGGTCAACATAGGGGGAGTTAGAGGGAAATAGGAGTTACTTGATATAATCGCATTTTATTATATACATGTATAAAATCAAAAATTAAAAAAAACCTTATAATCCAATTGTTCAGTGAGGCCTAATTTAAGAAAACATTGACCATAAGCACTTAGCTTACTTAGAAATAGAAGTCCAAGTTAATGTTACAAAAGCTATCTGATTCTATGTTTCCCTCTGAGCAAACATTTCCCTTTTCTGGATATGTGTGCCCATGGGGTCTATAATCCCCATCTGTGGAATGACTTCAAACATGGCTTGGTTCTTGATACAGAGTATCAAGACTTCTCAGACTATAAATCTTTATATAGGAAATACAACAAATGTCAACTGGACAATAATAAGCAAATACAGCTAGCCCATTTGAATTACTAACAAAAATTCAAAGCTAAACAAGCAAACAAGCACGGGCAAATCATCAATAACTAGTTCAGTAACTAGTTAGTAAAAGTGAGAAAACTCCAATTTTAACCTACCAATCTTAAAAAATTTACTCTTTTACTGGGTGTGTATGGGGGTGGGGGGCATGCATGGCCCCAAAAGGATATCAGATCAGCTGGAGCTGGAATTTCAGGCAGAATGGGTACTGGAAAATGAATTCCAGACCTCTGCAAGAGCACTCAGCACCCTAACCATATCTCCAACCCACCTTGATACCTGCCCCATCCAAGTTTCAAAGATGATACAGCGCGTGTCTTAAGGAAAACATAATGTACTGTTATTTTTCCTTTACTACATTGGGCTCTATTTTAATGGAAGGAAAAAGCAAATCACTACCTGAATGAGAAGACCCTGAAGCTCTATAGAAACTCCTAGCATGTTATTCCAAAGCATGAAAGGTGGCCAGGATATTGCAAAACCGGAGTGACAGAAACGTAAAAGTAAATGTTCTGTTTCACCTGGATGCCAGACAATGTATATGTTATCTCTTCATCATAATTCTATACCATTGAGGGTATTACTATTTTACAGATACAGTGACAGAGACACAGAAGAAAGCTGCTCATGCAGAGCATCTAGTAAACAGCAGACCTAAAAGGTAAAATCAGTGTGACCTCAAAACAAATGTCCTTCATAATGTAAATTTGAAATAAAGAGTAAAAACCCTTCTAACAATAAGGGAATGGTTAGTAATGGATTAAACACTTTAAAAAGTATTTATGCCTGTTAAAATAAGACAGGAATGTGGGCTCAATGAGTTAATATTAATGAAATAAATGAAGGAAAACAAACCAAGTTCTGTGTTCACTTCTGACAGGAACAGGTATAGCTGTAGATTTTAGCTCAAAGTGTTCTCTCTGAAAACTCAAATTTTCTACCCACATACTTGAGTACATAATACCTACCCAACATTCTGCCTGCAAGCCTCAGAGCTTCCAATCCACTACCCGTTACATTCTACAACAAAGACGGGCTGGATCATCTCCCCTCTGAGTACTGGTATGGATGCTGGAAAATGAATTCCAGTTAAGAAACTTGCCTAAAACCACAGAAATAAAGACTGCAAAGATGACAGTCAACCCCAGTCACCATCTTTAGCAGTGACTCAAAGCTCTCAGCCTTTGGCCATCCCCCAGAACCTTCCATAGGACATAGCAGAACAAAGGATCTCATCAGAATGCACTCTGAGACGTAGGTACTACTTTGATCAGAATTAAAGGACTAAAAAGTGTACAATGT